TGCGTTAAAAGTCACGTCCAGAGGGTGAGATAGGCACTCCCCCCCCCCCCCATTTAAGTATGAGTCATACCATGTTTATGCGAAAAAGTTATCTCATAACTTGGCTGGTTTCCATAATATTTTGTTACAGCAATGTATGTTTGTTCGTTGTGGCTATCGCTTGATGAGGGTGTATTACCTCCACAGCTTTTTTATATCTTCCGGTACCGTCGATGGCCACTTCAACCTAACACTACGGTTGACTTCTAATGAAACGAGACAAGTTCTCAACCGCATCCCGTCAAGGCAGACTGGACAATTCGAAACGACTGTGGCCTACGAGTAAGGCCCCAGTAAAGAAACTAAATTATCTACAGCTTTTTCATGTTCCTCGCGATGCTTTAGATAACCAACACTGTTTAAGGAGTATTTGGGACTGTTTAATTTGTCTCAACGCCTTCTAACTGAGATCTACGAAGTAATGAATGCTAGCAAGCTTGACAAAGATAGAATGATGAGAAGGCGTCCATTGTGCATCTTTTTCGATGCGGCTAAGCCTTGCTACGATTGTAAGGATTTGATTACTACCCATATAGTAAATCGTATTAATAATTAGCAGAAATATTTTACTATGGGGATACACCTGATGGGTTCTCTTAGAACATTGAATTCAGGTTCACAAAAGAGGTGAGCTTGATATAGTCTTTCTCACAAACCTTATATACCATAGGGCCATTTCCTAAGAAACAACTAATATTCTAAACAAAAAACCATTTTGCTTCGATAACAAATTTCTGCTAAAGCAGCCGCAAGGTTTTAGAGTAATTTCGCAAAACTCGTGGGGAGTTTCAAATCAACGTCTACCCTGAACTTACTTTGCCTTATTTACGTTAGAGTTGCCCATCAGGCATTTCTTACATATGTTAGAAGATACACATTAGTTTCCTTTGTATAGTTGCTTTTAGTAAGTATTTCTGTTATGTACGCTTCAATAAATACGGCCATTTAATTTTTTACCGTTAAGGGGAGTAAAAGTAAAAAATTGCCATAACTGTATATTTTATGCGGTGCTCATTTTTGTTAAACAACATTAAGCCATACTTTTTGTGAGATCATATAGCCCGTGGGAGAACGTATTTCTTTGTACGATAGGCTTGCTCGCTCAGTACTGCTTATATCCTTAGAATCAAAAAAAATAAACCGAGTGCACGGCCTTACCGGATAGATATAAAACAGGACACAGGCAGACGTGTGTTTATGTAAATTATGCCACCTCCATTGCCAGCACCACTTTCTGAGGAGCCGACCAAATGACCAACGTCGAGAAAATTGTTACAATTAATAAAAAAGGCGTACTAGGAACATGTGGTGCCGGTTTGTGGCAGATCCATATGAAAACCTGTCTTATTTAATATCATCGATTTCCTATGAAATATGAAAAGAAATTTTGATAAGTAAGTCAGATCTAAAAACTTTATCGCAAAACAGTTGTTTCCTTTTTATAGAAAACCTTATATCTGAAGTCAATTTTACGTGCTTCGGTTACTTCAAGTAAAATATGGTATACTGTAACATTTATTAGTATTTGTTTATATTTGATTTATTATATTTCTTTTAAACGACAGGTATTTTCTGTCATTGAATTTTCGAGATTTTGAGAACAAATTGCAAATTCGAGTACTCTATTTATTGGAATCCATCGGTCCCTTTTTTCGAGTGTGAGACCGAGCATTATCATCTAATTAAGCTGACTGAAATTCCCTATGAAACTGTTCCTTTGTCTTTACCTTTTGATTGTAACCTGTTTTCTTTTTTGTCCTCTTATTTCTTGATCTATTTCGTAAGGATCAATATTTTTTAAGAGCCGATATCAATCTATTCGATTGGATGGACTTTACTCCTCCAGTCTGTCAGGACGTGATCGTGCGGGTCCCTAGTTAGCTAGAGTGCCACAAGGGCACCCATATACATCCATTTACATTCACAAATCCACGTAATACGTGATCTCGGGCAGTTGAGGTAAAACGACGAGGTCCTGTTTCCTTCAATTATTTCGGTAACGTATCGACGATAAATCCCTCAGGGAGAGACTAATGTAGCCCGCCGTTCTAAATAAACACCACAATAATATTTCGACGAAAAAGTGGGCGCGGGTGGAGGAACAAGATAATGCCGACTTCTCGCTTCAAATGGCGAATGAGTTGACGTGACGCTAGGCACCCGTAAGGGTGCTGGGTTAAGCAGCAGCGACGCATGGTTAAAGGCGAGGTATTCAATGACTGATGTTGCCTTTGTCTTGGTTGTCCATTACACAATGGCATGGCCCAAGCCTTCATTTGCTCTGGCTACGGCAAGATTACTGCAAATACACTGCGCGATGCCGGTGGGTCTACGATGCCCATTCCGGGTCGATGTAAGCCTACCCACTTGTGGATGCTGCGGCTGTAGCTGCTACTGCAATCGACTCACTCTGATGGCAGAAGTATTTGGATCTTGTCTGTCGATGGCGAAGAGTAATGCTATATATGTAAGAGGGATAATGATCTTCATCTTCCACTATTCTCGCTCGATATCGTTATTATAACAATAAAAATATATAGATCTGATGTGCACTCAGTTACTTCAATGTAAGATAATAGCTATTTGTAGGTGAGCAGCTCTATAGGACAGTCACTTCATTACCATGAAGTTTCACCTCAATATTTGAATAACTATTATTATGATAAGATACGTGTATATATACATTGCAGCGACGACGCAGGTGATATTTATTTGGCCAACACCGTACCGATAGCAGCGAACCTCCTAAGTGTCATTGGTAAATGCTGTAACATTCGTCAGCGCTACTCACGTATGTGTCCGAACGTACCACTTAGACTGCTCATGTGGTCATTGCTGGTGCGCTCGTGTAGACCTTTTCTTATCATGTAGAGTTAAAAAATGGTAATTTCCAGGACCAAGGACACGACTATAGCCTTTAGCCCCCTTTTCAGCCTGGCCGAAGAGTCCATTCATCTTCGATAGACTAACTTCTTGGCTCTGGTAATCCGTTATATTATCGCTGGAGCCAATGGTAGCGATGGCGCATTAGTATCGGCAGCACTCAGTTAACATCTCGTCCTTTTATAGCAGAACCCATGGTTTTCGTAGGATTATTGGTATGGAACAGGTTGGGACATTCGAATTTGGACAAGTCTGGACGGCCTATTCTTGAAGACCGAAAAAGGCCAGCTCTTTCTAAAATAAGACAGTGAACCTGTCGTCGTAAGAATAATGCACTGTAGTCGTAATTTCAGCAAAGATCAGCTATTGTCCAACGTGTTAACATAAGACGAATCTCCACTGAGATCAAAAACTTCTTTTTTGCCCGGAATCGACGTTAACTTACGTCGTTAACTTAACGTAATAACTTCTATTTCCCTTCTGAAAAATCCGAGAAACAAGGCTACAAGGCAAACTGAAAGAGCTTCACTAGAACTTAGGATCTAAATGCTCGGAAATCCATAGAAATGATCGAAAAAGAAACATTGTTAATACCTTTTGGTTCTTTTATGTTGAAACAAGCGGCCTATTCAAAGACCAGAACTTAAGTTAACAATTGGATCAAACAGATAGGCTTGATTGTCAATCTACCGATATAGCTTGGTGCACGGTTACTATAAAAAATTTACCTACGAATCAAATAAGTTTCTTCGTCGCATACTGCGTAATTTATATAAACGACAAAGTTAACTGGGGTAAGTAAGTCCGTAAGTAAATATATAATTGCAATGAGTAAGGATTCGATAGGAACGATTTACAAATAGAGCTCCGGATTTGGGTACCCTACATAGATAAAGATAGGGGGAAAGAACATTTTCGCCGACACTAGCGCTTCGTCTCGAAACTTGCTTCGAAAGACAAGCACAATTGCGAAACCAGGTTCGTTTTGTAATGTTACTTTCCATAATCGTTTATGACGTTGAGAAAGTTTTATAAATACTAGATCATGCTGTGATTAGCAAGAACATTTAGTAGATAAAGCGTCTTGTAGCGTAAGCTGCTCTTGAAAATTTATTTCAAATACTTTAATGACAGTCGAGCTAACAACAAAATAGGCCAATTGTGACCTAAAGCAATGTACGGCATGCGCAAGACAAGCTTCCCGCGTACACACATGTTTCTCTCATGGGAGCACTATCAGCAAAGTGCAGTCTTCCCCTTGATCTGATCGCTGTTCAAAACATCTCATCGCCGAGCTGCGCATTGTAGCACCAACAATGTCTCGTCGACGTTCCTAGGTATATGCGCATGATTGCATGGTCCTTAGAAAAACGCACTTACCCCTCTTGGCACAAAGCCTTCCCCCTCTGTTGCCGCAGGGCTACGTACAGGCAGGATGAGAGGCCAAAAGTATCATCCAGTTACCTAAATGCTGAGCTTCGACGTCCAACGTTTGCCTACTTATTATTCCTACCCAATACCAAGGTATCGACATTCGATTTACGGTAACAAAGATTTTTTTCTAAAAAACTGTCCTACGTGAAGATTTCACACAAAGCGGTTTATCAGGTTGAAGCGCGCCAGTGGAATTAGTAAGGATTATTCCACAGCACTAGCTTTGGCTTTTTCCCACTCTTCACGTGCAGGACAATTGTAATTGGGCCGCATCTGCAGTTTAGCCTACAACTCTTCGTTCTTATTCACAGGTAGGTTGGATGGAAACTTTTTATATACATTTTTTGAAAGCAAACACTATTGTGAGCCACATTAAATGTAAGGCATACGGCCTACTTCATTGACCGTTAGTAAGAAATCAGATTCACTAATTAACTCTAATTAAGGATACTTTCTCTTCGTCTGCGCAAAAAATTGCTCCTGTGTTTTCAGTTGTACGGCTAATTAAAAAAGCTTACCACAAACGATAGTCGTCTCAAAAAATGAATAATAGTAGTGGCTTTAATAGCACTTTCATAATTAGAAAGCAAATATCCACAGTAAGTCTTATTGGCTGTAATTTATTGGTAACATTTACAGAGCAACATAAATCTCCGATTTGCCTCTAATCGTATTCAGCCTCTTTATGCCTTTCCTTACCATCGTTTAGGCCAAACTAACCAAGGTCAAAAGCGCAAAGAAGTTGGCTGTGACAAAAGAGTTTCTGGTGAATACGCGTTTCGGTATTTTATTTTTCTTTCTTAACTGACCACAATTGACGATTGTGCGGCGAAATGAGACGACAAATTTTTAGGACAGTCTTAGCGGCTTCCCGCAAATTGTTCCCTTTCCATCGCACTCTGTTCTCCATGAGCCTATTTGCGTGAGAGCTTCGCGTTCCCTAAGCGGTAAATCAGGCACCATCCATAGACGTGCTAGCCGCAACGACTGCTGAATGCGACCTTGAGAACTTTCGCTTGCCATTTGTTCCCAGTGTTATTCAGCTCACCTTTACGCATTTATCTCACCATCGCCACTAACTCGACAGCATGCGTGTCCTCGAATCTTCCCATTATCAACCAACTTTACGAGACGCACGTTCTAGGGACTATGTTCAGCTTGCTAGGGATAACTTGTTCATATTTTGCACGGACCGCATACGAAATTATATAACGTCGTTCCGTCGAAGAAGATGGTAGAATACTTTTATGAGATACGGACGCGGTGGCTTCGACTAACTCAGTACAAGAGTGTCAGTCGTTATCCGGAATGATACTGATGCCAACTTTCTTTTGTTAATAAAGCTGCGTATACGTTACGCTGTATAAAAATCATCCTCGACGCTGTGACCTGCTGCAGGAACTCGCGAGGTTCGACGTTAGATTTGTATGTGTTTCTAATGAAGACAAAGAAACAGCGTATAACTGAATCTTTATTTCTTTTTTTAAAACGCGGAAATCTATTTTGAAGGCTAAAATGAGGTTTGACTTACTTAGTGGTTGCATGAATTTCGTTGTATATGTTAGTATGTATCAAATATTGTTGCACTACAGATCTTACATACATATAAAGCATATGGCTAGCTAACTTTAAACAGAATAATGTGGGCGGCTTATTTAACTTAGATATTATTTAACTTAGAGAAATTATCTAATTTCTATCCTATAACACGTTCAGCGATGATGTTTAAAGCCCCAGCGTATTGCCCACCTTGGAAAAAAAATAACATCGTTGCTATTGAGTTATAGCGTCGTGTCTTCGTGGGGGCCTTCAGATAAGCCCTGGTTGTAGCTGTGACTCTCTAGAGTATGTTGACACAGTCGTTTTGCAGCTGACTGAAGTGTTAGAAACGTTATTTGCTGTTCAAGAAGATCATGTAATGTCAACGAGACTTTCCTTAATTTGAAAATCATTGAGTGAAAGATTTTCAATCGGAACAATTCTCTAACATGAAGGGCAACTCCATGACTGATACAACACAAGATTGCTGCCTAAAGCGAAGTATTTTTAGTGAATTATTATTATTTTTCTAGTTAAAATATTTGGGACGATTCTGTACCTATATATATATATATATATATATATATATATATATATATATGCATTCTGGAAAAGGGCTGAAGGGTTGACTTTAAGTGGTCGCCATTAGCTTAATTAACCCTACACATACCTCTAAAACTGTATTTTGTAAGGTCATTGCAAATGTGCTTTAATGGTCTATGCGAGGCCTGCGTCAGGCACCCGATGTTTATAAGAACGGTCTCCGGCAACTGGACCTTGTTTCTAGAGTTGGCACCGTGAGAGGGTTCCCTTCTGTGTACTTAGTGGTGACTGTTAAGGCCTTAATTTTAAGATAATTGCATATTAACGCGGTTATTATACACACACAGCGCCATACGGCATGTCTATTCGGCACTCCAAACGTATCTTAAATATCATGATCCTTTAGCAATGTAAAATAGGAGCAGGTATTTAGTATTGATAACGGGTATGATGTATTGTTACCTAGTCTATAGAATCATCTGTACAGTCAATACGTGAAATCATTTGTAAACACCGTTTACTGTCGTCTCGATACGTAAATTCGAACCGCGCAATTCAACAAAGCTATCAAGTGTATCGTGTTCGGATTTCGAAATAGTTATTTGCGCATATAACGAGCCTTTGTTGTCACATAAATATCGAAACGGCCAAGGAGGACCTGACGTGTAAAAAAAACCACCACTTACGTATTGTTTCCTGCTGCCATTTCGAGTCCTTCGACCCCGCTAGACGTATCCTTTACGTAGAAGCAGATGATTGCGTCCAGCAAAGATAACACAGTTGCGTTACTTTGTGGCATCAATTATCGACGACAATTTACGTGATGGGTCTGGAAACCGGAATCAAGTCTTGAGTTAATACTAAAACAGTACCACGGACGCACTTATAGTTGAGTAATGTTTGAATGCATTCATTAGTAAAACAGCTCATTGCACAGCAGAACCATACGCTAAAAATTTCAAAAAAATCAGTTAGCGGAAATTAGGAACGTTCACAAAGAATCAAAGCGACTTCTATATAGTGCAAAAGCAGCTATATGTATGGACAGAGTACAAGATCATGTCGAGTACCTATATATCGTCAAGGTGTTAATAACGCGAGATATGACACATCTATATATGCTCTATCGCGCGAAACATAAAGCATCTTCAATTAGTATCGACTTTTCAAAAAATTTTATATATATATATATATATATATATATAGATATATATATATATCCATATATATAAGTGAATAATTATTTGCAGATAGTGTACGGTTGCTACATAAAATAAAGAAAACTATTTGACCGTTGGCGCCATCCAGATCGCGATGTTTTATCACTGATAATCTCTCTGTGATGGCTCTGACACGGATAGGCCCATTGAATATGGCCTATGGGATCATGAGTGGTATTCGTTGCCTTATATACGGGTACGTCGTCATGATGCTAGAGTTCTAGCGGCACTGAAGTCATGCTCGTATGCATCTGCGTCGTCATATACCAGGCTAACCTGGCCAACTATACCTATCTAGTGGCTGACAATGTTATTGTTACGTTGAAAGGTTAATGGAGTGATGTAGTCGTAATCAAGAATGAACCATTGTTTCACTAGATGTGATTATATAACGTTACTTCAACCATAACATAATCTCAATATCAGTATAACCACCGACGATCACTAGTTATCGTACCGATTTGGATCAGTTAGGGGAACACACGGCGGACGTACTTAATTCTCGACGCCCGTCCACACTTCCAAGACAGACCAATGAACTTCGCTCAGTTATCGCCTTCGTAGGATATCTATTGCAATACGACCTGTGAAGGCTGCTCGATCCCAAATTTTCAAGATTCAAGAGAGAATTCAATGCGTGACTGGTGAATGTCCGGGATCCGAGCCGTATGAGAAAAAGCATTGACGCCACGACTGGGATTTGCTAAGATAGCGCAGTTCACGCTTAACTTTAAAGTTGCAACATTGATTTTCACCTACTAAAGACAGCTGCTCTAAAATAACGAAGCGCATGGCCAGCGATACCAATAGAAATTGATTCGAATTAACTGCTGAATTATCGGGCCTCTTCAGGATCAGTACATGGCATAATGATTCAGTTGCACGCATGGGCCACTCATCGTCTTTTGTCACCTCCTCCAGGCAACCTGGGTGCATCCGCTACCCCCGTCGCACAAGAGCGCCCATAGTAAGGGGAGCGGGCCTCCGCCCTTCTTGAACAGAGGAGAGAATCGTGAGATTGTATTTCGAAAATGCCTACGAGCGATCGTACCACACTTCGCTACGGGTCTCGCTCTACAAGGGACAACGAAGATAATGCTCACAAAATAACTTCTAATAGGGTGAGCGGCGAATGTGTAACATCGGCGGGCGTGCCGTTGACAATTCACGATGGCCGATCACCATCGCGCTCCCCAAGCAATGGGGTGACTGGTAATATTGGTTCAGAAGCGTGTTAAGAATCGTAGTGGAGAGACGCGAATTTTTCGCTTCCCCCTTTGTTTTACGTATATTTTCGATGTATCGTTCCTTTCAGCTAGATATTCGCGCCGCACATGTCCCATCGGCTAGCGTTGATATCAGCTTCTATTATCTCGACGATAGCGTGCTTGCTCAGTGGAAATGTCGGCCGTTGAAGTGCGGTCGCGGAATTTCAACGCCAATTAGCTGAAACTTATTGGAGGAAAATAAGAACACGATTCCGCTTTCAACAGGAATAATCTTACTATTCTATTAATTTACTCCGTTGCAGACAAGGTGATTAAGTTGAAGAAAATTATGCGACGAGCCTTCAAGTTAGTAGCAAAACGTCAGAAGAGGTGAAACACATTACTCACTACGATTCTATAATTTTATGTATTTTTTATGGGAGGTTGGAAGCTAGACTAACTGTTCTTTTGGGAGCTACTGTGTGATTAATGCGACAGCTTATGGCTGAATAGGATGCCTGTCAATGAAAAACCGCATAAAGATGACTGCAGTTTGTTTGCTATTGATTGGTCCCTGATTAGTAGCTGCCCAAACCTGTCGTATTGAACGGTTTAAAAAACGTATTCTCACACATCCAATTTTATTCGAACTATTGTAGACTGGTGAAAGGTACGCGAGATAGCTTCAAGATGTTCCTGAGACACTGCAGTTCGCAAGTAACGCCCCGTCTCTTGATGACGCCAATGGTAAAAAGACTTGACCTAATATATTTATCAGCAGCCATTTGACGTAAGCGCAACGTTAACGTATATGTAGTATAGTTGCTTATAGGTGTGGAATAATGATCAACGTTAATTGTAAGGATTATGGAGCAGCTTTTTAGGTGTTCTGTACGTTTCGAGGTTTCCCCACTGTTTCGAAACAGGACCGTACGCGTCCTAGTATTGTTGCGCGTGCAGTATTTCATTATCTATATACGCATGATAGCTATCAGACTACAGTCAACTGGGTAATGGTATTCTACAACATTTAAACTAGGGTTTTTCTCAAAGCAGTAACTGAAGCAACAAGCAGTAGATTGTGTGGAATCCCTTAGAGGCGGAACTACAATGTAAAGCAGTACTATAAGAAACGCTAATCTACTGAACGTATTTTAGGAGTATTTTTTGGTCGAGCAGGTACGTCTCACTGCTATTGCGATTTATCGTCGAATTATGTCTCAGAAGCTAACGTTTCTAGACGTCCGGGAGGATCTTGGTAACCTCATGTCACTCTACGATGACACCCGTTCCGAGCATCGACAAGCCGCTCAGGTTTGTCAAGAGGTCCCTTGCTAACTAAAGCGCTCACTTGTTTATAATCTCAAGACTCTAATTAGTTTCATTCAAAGTAAATCCAAGCTGGCCTGCTTGCTAGACACTCGATGCGTTTTGAAGCGGAACATGGTACGATTGTGTGCGTTGATAAAATAGGTATGGATATCTATGGTAATGAGAATGGTATCAAAATTTCATTCTGCTATTACTTCTGTTATGGTTTCGTTTATTGCCACTCTGGAGAAGCTCGGTAGAGAAGTTTTAATAATGAAGCAATAAGTGGAAGTCTCAGATAGTTTCTATTAGAATGCTACAATGATTGCCAAAACTATTAGCGGGCATAATATTATAGCTGTACGGTTTATGGCCCTTCAAAACGTGAAGGCCGATGCAAACCCAACTGAAGCGCGTATATATTCGGAGCATAAGATGTCCCGTGTCAATCCGTCCCGTGTCAATCCAAAACGATGTATTTGTACAATCCTAATGGTGATAACTGACCAGTTTTCGAAACGGCGGAATCTCATTTAGGACCAACTCCTGCTATTTGTCGTTATATGGGTAAATTAAATTTATTTGTTGTATAATTTCCCGCAAAGACGAACTAACTGCTTACTAACCATTCTGACCATTGAGCTAGCCTAGAAATCGCTTGCTATCTCTCTATATCTGATCCGACCTTGATCACAGTTTCACATAAACCAATAACCACTAGTGGATAGGCTCTTATCATTCGTATTTTGGACGTGGATGGCCACGTTGCTTGACGCTAAATAGAAATCGATCCTTATTTAATCTGATCAAGAATTCGGTGAAACGTCCCTACAACAAGCCTAGATGTCAGCTCCAACTCAAGGTAGGTTTAGGTTTTTGGGACAACGAAAGCACCTTCCCACAACTGAATGTACTTAACACAAAAGATACCCGAATCCTGATCACCCAATTACTTTACTGAGTTAGATATGCATTCGTCTGGCTTGTTTTCAGCAGTAGAAACTGTTCTTATATTGCCTGTCATAGCTCGTACTCGGCGCGACCCCTTAAGACGCGCTTTCATATATATGAAGCTCTAACGATGTAAACGTTCCTAAGCTTCGACTCAGCTCACAAGCCAATCTTTATGTGAGCATATCTTGGCCTTTGATTTTTCTTTCTCTTCTGATTAATGCTAGATAATCTTGCCAGGTTTGTCGTGGCGCATCCAGGTAGGGCTTCGGTCTAAAGTGTCTATTAACAGTAAAAATCATTGTAGATGAATTTTGACGTGAGCCTAGAGACTTATATGTGCTATAGAACATGTCCATTCTAATAATTCAGCAAAGCCTAGTTTCGAGCCATACATGAGATGCTATTGTACAGTTTGGAGCTCATTGATGGTTCGCATATGAGAGATAATCCATAACCTTCTACGAGCGTATAAGATCGCTAATTAATCGTGCAATTAACCAATACGAAAAAATACTTAACACCCACAGACTCTCGCAGTCTACTTCCACAAGCTCGTCTTGATAACGGCAGTCCTAGCCGGCGAACTTGAAGAAGCGTCTCGTGTTCAGCGAACGAATTGGTACTCCGTAATTGATCTTCTCTATTCAGCTGAGAACGTTATTTCAAGTCCTTCAAGTTCTAAAAGACTGAAAGTAGACGAGCGGTTTGGATTCAGACTTGACGCACTTGAGCCTTTATTGGTACCCCGTTTAGACCAGATCACAAAGCTCCGTCTACTAGGTAAAGGAGGTTTTGGATCAGTGTATAAAGTGAATATAGGAGGCTTAACGTTAACGTGTAAGTTGATTCGCCAAACGCGCTTACATAGTGAACGAGCGAAGTGCGCAGATAAGCTTGTTGCCACGTTGGTACAGAGTCGTTTATTAGTGATTGTCTATGCCTGCTTCAAGGCGGAGGGTGCTTATGTCTGCCTTATGGAGTACCTACGTGGGGTGGACCTTTACAAAGCCATTCGGGGTCAACCTCGATTCTCGGTCGAATTATGCCGAATCATATTGTCTCAATTGTGCCTCGCTATACAATATCTTCACGTAACAGGCTTCATCCATCGTGATATCAAGCCATCCAATATGATTATCATGCCAAACTGTCGCATCCGACTCATCGATTTTGATACATGCAAGGTATGCGCGGTTAATGCATCGGGTGGCGTGAATCGCTCATATATTAGAAAATCATTTACCGAATTTCACGATGGGCAAACGGCGGGAACGCTTCACTATCTCGCCCCCGAGGTTTTGAGGGGATTTCAATATGGACGTGCTATTGACTGGTGAGCTATTTTCGAATAGCTAACACTTTCGAGACTAACACTCTTTTATGCGACTCATTTCCGCATCGTATTAAAAAAAAATTATAGGCAATTTTGTTAATTGGGTTGCAAATAATTTTAGGTGGGCTGTCGGTGTAACTGCTTATCTTCTAGCCACCCAGACTACGCCGATTAGGGGTAAGGATGCGCGTGCAGTAAAACAATCTATAACATCTGATGAAAAGCATATAAACTTCGCTAAAATTCAAGAGAGTGATCTGCGTCACATCATTTCTAGGTGGATGACGAGAGACCCTTACGGTACGCAATAACCTATCATTCGTAGTGAGCCATTACGTATATTAGTATCTGTCAATTATCCGCACCAGCTAGTTGCTATTAGGACGTATGTTCCAACACTGTTTTTAAATATCCCGTACGCAGAGTTGCAGCCCGTCTATTTTTCGATTTTGAGTAAAGTATAGTGGAACTCTTATTATAGTGCCACAAATGATCGGACAAAAAAATACCTCGTGGGATTCTTAACATGGATACATCGGTCGTAGGCTAGAAGTAAATATTAGCCATAGTGACGTTTTCCACAGAAAAGGCCGTAGAAACTACAAAGGCAAGGTTTACCGGACTATTCTGTACTGCAGTTCTATGTAATACTAGAAATGTAACGGAATAATATTCTATATATTCATATGATGTATGATGATGAATGACTGACTAAGTAGTAAAAAAATGTGTGACTAATAATGTGCAGTCGTTTTTGTATGGGTTTCTACTTGATCAACGTTATGGTTTCGCAAAGGAAAGACCTTCATGAGGACATGTTTACAATCTGTGAAATAATATAATCAATCGACGGCTCATCATAATTATTTTAGTTAGTGAGTCGAGCTACACAAAACGATACGGAGCATTGTTAATTTAGGGGGTGTGAGACATAACGGTTAATTGCCTAGACAGTTGCGAGTGAAAAGCTTGCAGCTAAGCTGGTCTCGCGTAGAAATGCAGGAAGGCGTACCATTAGATTCTGAGAATTTCCAAGAAGAGGGATCATTTTTTGAGCTTCTTTAATTAGCTTGAAATTGTCCCGGCACTAGCGTAATGGGTAGGGTGTTTGCCCCCTAGCGTAGGGGATGCATGGTGGTGTGAGTTCGAAGCCGGGCATGGACACGCTGGAAGTCAGTTCTCTGATGGAATGCCGAACGGCGACACCGGGCGTAAAACCCGAAAAATTTTAATTAGGTTAATATTAAAAACCAAGTATGGCTCGTTTTACGTTTTATATATAGCTACAAGATGTACAACGTTTTAGTTAAAAATGTTCCGAGTATTTAAGGAATACTATCAAGATATACTAAAACCTATTAGAAATAGGCCTTAATAACTGAAGAAGTCGCTTGAGTGGCTGTTGTTAAGAATTGTTTATACTGATAACAATAATTCTAGATCGTCTGACGGGGGTACTCCTGTCTGACATAACGACACATCCTTTCTTCCTGGGTGTGGATTGGAAGGACATGGAATGTGGTGAAGGTAAATTATACACGTACTCCCCTATTCTAAAGCTAATGAAGCAACACAGTGACACCAGCGAATATTCACCACCTAGCGCTGCTGTACCAAGCTATTCCAGGACACGACATAGGATCCTTGATCTTGACGATATTTTGGTAAACGAACTATTTATTACCTGACGCAATCTGCCATTACTTATATTATATTCGAAAGTTACATGTAACTGCTGCATTTTAAGTTGTCTTGCGAAATGTGGGTCATGGTCGACCTTGGAAGTATCGCGGCGAGCTATTCAATTAAAATTCTTAAAAAAAATCCGTTACGACAGTTTATTTTTCGCCATAACGTCATGTATATACATGCCTGACGGCAGATACATCTACTCTCATTTTCCAGGATTCCCCAGCGCAAATCCCATTGTTGACGTTCGTATCCCATGGAATGATGCGCGTTCTTCAGAAAATGGAACGGGATGAAACCCCCTGTGAAGCCGACCTAAACGATCAGCGTGAGATCACAAAAATGGCACTCACTTCTACGAAAAAGCTTGATTTAAACAATTCCTATCGCTTCAAAGGCAAGTTACAATTTTAAACGTTCTTAGAGAAATGCAGCATATACATTTTGGAAACTTCAGTGATCTCTCTGAAAAGCCTGGCGTTTTTCAGTCTGGATTCAGACCTTGCCAGGAACTAACTATGAGTGGAAATTGCCAGCTTAAATACGTCATATTGAAGTAGATCATTTTGCATATTCACTAGGAAAACTACACCAGTGAAGATCTGTGTATAAGAGTGTGTACCAAGCTAATTGATGAACATGAATTCTTAGAGTAGGTTTCATTGGCTTCAGATAGATTTTTTCTTATCAAAAATATCTTAGTAGAAGCTGAAATGAAATTTCATAACATATTTTGACCCGTTGGCTCCAATCAGCAAAACTTCTATCGGAAGGGACCAGGGGCGGCTCTTCCAAGTCCAGTTAACGCAATATAATAGCTACAATAGCAATATAATAGCACATGCTATTGTAACCAGCTGCATATGTACATAAAATGACAATAGGGTGTAAAAAGAGGCTGTGTTTCTTTTAGAGCTGCTGCTGGCACCGAGAACAAGATCGCATTATTACATGTGATACGCGCTTGAAACCGTAAGAACGATGCAGTCGTTGACGTTCGAGAGCGGGTGCGCTGGGTGTTGATGAAGCTGCTATATAGAGTCGCTTAACAAAGGAGTCGTGAGAAGAGGGGAAAATTGCAAAATGATCATTGTGTATCAGAGAAGGAAGCGATGAAAACTTCCAAATTTTTATGTAAGCCCATAATGCTGCGGCTTTTGTAAAAGTAAAACATAAGCCTTTATGGCTTAAATGGATTCTATAATTTTCCGTAATACTGTTAATTGTATTTTGTTTGTATGCGCATATTTTTAATGAACAATACATATGTATGTATTTTTAATTTTTTGTATAATCTAACAGTTTTATGCGTATAATAAATAGTCCGGCAAGTTATTTTTACCTTTAGTAGCCTTATTAACCAGTAAACGTTATTAAATAACGTTCATAAGTTCCGCCATTGAGAAATTGTTGTTTAACTCACTATACTGAAATTATCAGGGACTTTATAAACAAATTTGTGTCCGTCGACTCAGTATACCGAATCTGAGCAAACAGCTGGATAACACCGTTCCATTATCTCAATAGCAACGTAAAGGCCGCAGCTTCTGATGGATAGAATATTATCATGCACTCGCTATGAGGGTGTCGCGTGCTGCATTGCCCTATTGGTGTACCCCATCATTTGTTTGCTTTGGCCATACAAGATAAGGCCAGCAATCAAAAAGCATAATTCAATGAAGGTTAGTGTTTGCCTCGTCAATGCATATTCGAAATAGGTTTTCAATAATTGAACAACATTTAATTAAATAGAGTAGGTCTCGTGGAGTTTGTCTCGGAACAACGACGTAGACCGATTTCGTCTCGCCGATGCTAATTCCAGTTTTGCTGATTTTGGCCTAGAACGTTACCTCTATTAGGTTGCCGTTTGTTAATCTCTATAGTATATACGTTAGGCCCTTAAGGGTGTCAACTTTGGTAAGCGGTACAGGCAATAAGCTTTTCTTTGATTTGCTGCCTACTATGGAGTACCCAAGTCGAGGCTAAAGTTCAGGTTAACTTACTCGAACATAGTCAGATATCACAGGATTATTCAGTTGCAGGTCACGTACGCTGTTTGTCAATTGGCTAGCGAGTCATCAACTTCAATAGCGTTGTTACGCCCAGAGAAATGTGGCATAACGAAATTTGCCTTCTTTATCTCAACTTTCACTAAATCAAATCATTTTTTTACACGGGGGTTGAAGTTTCTTCTTACATTCGTCGGCTAGCCCTCCTCCCCTTACACGCATACAAATGGGGTGTTATTCCGTCGCGATAATCTCAATTTCTGTTTTGTCATTTCTATATTTCAATTTGTCTAAATGTGCTGACAACTCTGTCTAAGCTAAATAAACTAGTATGTTGCCTGTTATATATATATATATATATATATATATATATATATATATTAATAATTAAGTAATAATAAACCACCTAATTGTCTAATGGGTCTTCCCAAAAAGTAATTGATGATACTGTTTTACTCTACAACGCTTTAGGATCAACGATTCTAAATGAACAGACCTAAATAGAATGATCTAAATGTTTAGTGTAGTAGAATTGATTTTTTGCCCCTAGGCTCAGAACTGCTGTGTTCAAGATATTCGAATCACCACAGCCGTAGGTTTTTTTTTTATTGCACACGGTTATATTAGTTATTCGGATCATTATTTTAAACAAAGTGACCTGATAATTCAATTAGTTACATTAGTTTGAGGTTAAGGTCAGAGCCATACCGAGCTCACTGTCAAAGCCGGTCGCTCACATGGCTATAGAGTCCGTACTGAAGGCACTCCATTCCAACTTTGTGACAGCGAAACCCATAGAGGGGTGGGGGGATTTTAAACAGCCGTCTGTGCAATTCGGTGGATGTACAAACCCAGATACCGACACAGCAGACTGCGTCAAACGTCTCACCGCAGAGTCTTCTTCATGACGATAACCGATTCAAACGGTCTGTCTATGGAAGAAATTTTGTCTGTCATCTGGTAGATTATATCAGTCTCGGCCGCGGCGGTGTCTGACAGCCGCAGTGCGTTTCGTTCTCGTAGGAAAGGTCAATGTTACGCATGCATCATTTGAGTTCGCTTGAGCCGCTGAAGGTCGCTCCTTGCCAATGTACGGTTAACTACATTTATCACTGTATGGGGATACTTGATAAGTAACTAGACGTTTGCTTTCACGAAGTCACTTATCAATAAAGTTTACTAAGTTAATTTCTGTCTACCATGCCTCAAATATCTATATGGTTATGCAGCTAGCCTTCTCACTTGATGCTTACGCAAGTTCGATATAATAATTAGATAAATAAAAAGGTCGTATAATAATTGCTTCTCGCGGAAGCTCCACGTGTCAAAATAATAATAAGTAGGTAGACGAGTAACAAAACTCTATTAATAAAGATACAATAACTGGCTTGATTCATGTGATCTAATGGGTTCGAGCCAGATAATCCGGCTGGTAAGCCCCCGTCGATGGATATGCGTTTTCAGCAAAAAAAAAACATCTCCACCTTGATTACAGATCAAATGAAGGGGCCCATTGCGATAGATGGGGTGCAGTAAGGCAAATAAAATCAATTTCTTCCAGTCGTAAAGAGCAACGTAAGTAAAATGCTTTTTTAGCTACAGATTAACAATCTGTAGCTACATCTATAAAGAAAAAAACTAGCTTTATAAATGTATACAATTACAGAAGTAGCACGATGAGGACAATGTTGTTTAGTGACAATAGCTGTTATCGTCTTTGGACAACTCACACTTGAGCGAGCTCTGTCGTTTTATGGTATTTTTATAGCCATATCCTTACCACTTCCGCTGACCACCCAGCCTATCTTCGTCTCTCTTGAACGCACCATAACTTCTCGTCTGCTTACTTTACGGCTTATTCCTCTATATGACTTTGTCGGTAACAATCGGTCGCATAACCATGTTAGTTGGTTTCATCCTTACGGTCATTCGCAGCTCGGACCTTCCATCTTCTTTTCTATCCAAAACATGCTGATTGTATCTATGGTAAGCTTCTTCACAAATCGTGCACCGTCTCATTGCCAAATCAGGGACAGCTGGGTTTGAAGTTTACGATTAGCCCAGCGTTCAAAATCTAGTATGCGGTGGGAATTAGATGGGGTGCACCATGATGCATCCGTTTACGAGTCAGTGGAAGTACACTGGGAAGTCGAGTGAGTGACAGGTGAGACACTCACCGAAGTGAATTGTCCCTAACCTTTTTCGACGAGTTTTTTCGAGCAATTCGTTAGAGCTAATTGGGTAAACCTCTCACAATCGTCCTTCGTAGTGACGAGCATTCATCGCAATGTGCATATATATATATATATATATGCGTCTGATACCTACAGAAGCTAGCTTTAGAAAATGGTAGATCGGTTTTTGCCAGACTCATGGTATTTTCATAGCCCACTAATACCAGCTAATTATGTTTACAGAGAGCTGCAACTCTGTGGGAACATGCGGCGATTATGTACAGGAGCGTATCTATGTACCACAATAACTATGTCGAGATATACTGAAAACGATTTGAATCAGGCGAACTGCCGTTAACATCGTAAAGCGCGATCTGTTCAGATGCAAACGGCCCATCTGGTTATTAATTACCAGATAAAAAAAAAACGTGTATCCTTCCCTTATAAGCGAATATGACCTATGAAGTCCTGCTTGCTCAAGTAGTAGGTGCGGCACAAAACCGAAAGCTGATTATAGGTCGGTAGTTGAAGCTATGATTTTACGAAAGTTGTTTATAACGTGCAACTCAATTACTCGTTCAGAATGTATGCTCAAAGAGCTGAACTAAAGTATTCGCTAATACGCTGTTTTCATGTAGAAAACTGTTGACTTTAGGCGGTCGAATAAATAAAAAAAAAAAAAAAAGAAAGAAAAAAAGGGAATTCTAGTCGACTCTAAGTGGCAAAGCTCTACCATTTTTCGAACAGATGTTGCTCCTGTTGAAATTTTCGCGTTAGCGCGTACCAAGAAGTGTAGACTGAAGAAATTCGTAAAAAATCGCTTATTATTTTTAACATTGGAAACCTTCCGCACGTATAGCGCTCAAGGAAAGTGCCAATGAGGTCACATGAGGTCTGCAACTTATCCTCTGCAACTTGATAGCGAGGCGCTTGCGACCAGAAACCTATCCACGATCCAAATACAGAAACGAAGAATGTTTACTCATAAGAAGTCATAAGATTGCCCAATTCGTTGACCCATATTATACTAGAGTTTATCAACTTCGTATCTAAATGCAATGCCGTGAACTAGCGCCTATGGCCCGACCGAATCAGCTTTGTTCGGCAATGCTAAGATTTTCTTTCTTTTCTACTACATAGATTCTTATCAAGAACAAATTCATCATTATAAAACATCAAATACTCGCATATTAATATCTGTATATAGTACTTTATCAGAATCGTGCCGCTTTTTTTTTCAATTAAAATTTCGATTCAGATAATTGGTCACCTTTAGATTTTAGTGTGCAGAAGAAATCTCACATGCCAGCTTCGGTGAACAGTCTACTGTAAATGTCTGCAGGCAACTGTTTGGCATTTTTTTTCTAAAAAAAAGTATAGAATTGTGCTCGGTTGTTTTTCCTAAACGAGTAATGGAAAGGTCCAAATTAAATACTGTAATTAAATTAAACAAGGCGGCACAATCGACCACTTCCATCTTATATCCGTTAAGGACGTATTATTAGTCCTTTTACTTGGCGCTTTTGTCCAGAGCTTCGGAGTCTCATTATCTAAGGTTGTCGATATTCTGCTACCGAAGACGGCACCAGAAGCGGTTCGGGCCGTTCTATTTACAAGACTTAGCCTAATGATACTGCATCGATAGTGGTTATTTTGGTTTCGCACCGCACTGCGCATTAAAAAAAAGACATTAGTATAGTTAAATCACACAGGATTTGTATAGCAGCATAATAAGAATAAGGTAAATGCTTCAAAAGCCCAAAGACGAAATTTTTCAACATTTACGTACTTTTTGGATTACTTAGAGAACATACGATAGGTTCTATAAATATTTCCTTTTATTTTTTCATCTTATAAAGCCGATCAGAAATGAAGGCTTTTTTAATTACTCTACGCTAGACAAAGCTAAATCGTTGAGTGACAACTGAAATGCATACAGACTGGCATATAATCATTGATCACCGAAGTAATGAAGAGGGACGGTTCGACAACTCTCCGCCTCGTGGTGAGCCGATAGTAGGGGTTCTTTGATGATAATTTGATCATGGTAAAACAGCCACTATTGGCAATGCTTGGCCAGCAGCCAACGCTCCATCCAGCAGGACGCTTCTAATATGAGCGACCTGAGCGCACATACAAACGGGAAAAGCTCTTAGTC